TGGCCTGGAGATCCTCCTCCTCCTCCTTCCCCTGTCCTGGCTGAAACTCAATAGATGTGAGAGCTGGACAGTTAAGAAAGATGATAGGAAGAAAATCAACTCCTTTGAGATCTGGTGCTGGAGAAGAATGATGAGGATCCCATGGACAGACAAAAAGACAAACAAATGAGTCCTAGAGCAGATCAAGCCGGAAACTTTCCTGGAAGCCAAGATGACCAAACTGAGGCTGTTGTATGTCAGGCACATCATGAGAATGGAAGATTCTTTGAAAAAAAATAATGCTTGGAAAGGTGGAGGGAAATAAGAAGAGAAGAAGGCCACATACCATGTGGGTGGGCTCTATTTAGGAATTCATGGGTATGGGTTTGCAAGATTTAAGCAAAGCAGTGGAGGACAGGGAGTCTTGGAGATGTCTCATCCATAAGATCGCCATGGGTTGAGATCGACCCAAGTGCAGTTAACAACCAAATCACAATTTGGGCTTTTCTTGACAAGATTTGTTCAGAGGGAGTTTGTAATTGCCTTCCCCTGAGGCTGAGAGCATGTGACTTGCCCAAGGTCACTCAATGAGTTTCCATGGAAGATCAGGCACTTGAACCTCTGTCCCCCAGAGTCCTAGTCCAATACTCAAAGTGCTATACCGCACTGGATTTTTCCTAGTAATACTAAATGTAAATACAGACAACTCAATTGAATGCATAGTTTTCACTCTCTACTCCAGTTTATTGTCATCCTCACTTTCCCATACTTTATCTGTCTTGCCTCCCCTTCATCAAAATCTCCCCTTCATAAAAGAACCTTTATTTCTGTTATTCTCTAGATTACAATACATTATCATCCAGTCAGGACTGATTCATTTCCACAGAAGTGTGGAATCTGTTTCTTTGTGAACTGATTCCATGTAACTCTCCAGTTCTAGTAAGATGATTTGAAAAAGTGTTAGAAAAACATACAAATAAGGGAATCACATTAATGTATCCTCCACATCATCATTAGTTCACTTGGAAAGTGACTTTCTGAAAAGCAGGGCCTCTTTACTTTGGAGGTTCAGCATGCAGTACAAAAAGCCAGAAAATCAATATTCTGGATTATGTTGGGATCCTCCTTAGATGGAACAGCTCTCACTTTCAGAAAGTGGGACACGAAAACATATAGGAAAGGAGTGGTGCATCTGTGTTCACTTTCTTTACATGTTTACTTCACATTTTAACATAACAAATAAAAGTATGTATAAAATGGTATTGTGTGCACTGGGACAATAACATGATACCAGAATTTTATCTATTAAGATGTTTTCCATGTCTTGTTTTTTGTTCATTGTTCCTGTAGTAGAAAGAATACAAGCATGAATTCAGTCAGCGCAATGAAGATGGATAGGCACCATTAACTGAAATATTTTTCTTCAAACTACTGTGTCAACTTTAAAAGTTTTAGGTTAAATCACCATTTCTACCTAGTCATGAAATAGAAGAATTATTCTTAAAAGTCAGGATTTGCAATGTGATGCACCACTGGCCTATATGCAGGTTGACTAATGAACTTCACTGGCTATTGGGAGGCTGCATGAAGAGACCTGTCCCTTCCTTGTTATTTTTAACTTTTCAAATTCAAAATATTAAAAATTCAGAAATAAAGGTGGGAGACCCTTTGGGAACCTCAAAAAGAACCTGGTTTAGGGGGCTTGTGCAGCCCATTGGATGTTCTTTCCAAATTACATAATAATAATAATAATAATAATAATAATAATAATAATAATAATAATAATAATTTATTTTTACCCCACCCCTCTGCAGAGCAATCATTTTGTTGAAGGTCCCACTTGCAATTTGCTTCTTGTTGTTGTGTGCTTTCAAGTCATTTCTTGTTTACAGCAACCCTAAGGCAAACCTATCATAGGGTTTTCTTGGCAAGATTTGTTCAGAGGGAGGTTTGCCTTTGCCTTCTTCTGAGACTAGGAGAGTGTGACTTGGCCAAGGTCACCCAGTGGGTTCCTATGGCAAAGCAGGGATTTGAACCCTGTTCTCCAAACTCATAGTCCAATACACAAACCACTATATCACATTGAAGTGGTATTGGGATTTGTGTTATTTCCACTGCTTGAAACAATTCCATCTGGCTCTTGTCACTGTTAGGTTTTAAAAAGCCATTGCAAGTTCACACTGAAGAGTATATTTTTGGCTGGCATTCTGATCCTGAATTATGATGGTATGTCTGACTCTTTCCATCATAATTCACTTTTACCACTGTTGAGCAAGTCAGAGGTCTCTTCTGGCCACACAATAACCTAAAGTCCCCTCAAAAATCTACTTTGTAAGCAGTGCAGCCCCCTCCCCATCACAACCATTTCCATGTGGACAAAGAAAACAGGAATAAAAAAGAATACATCCATGTATTTTCCAGTAGGTAGATGTACTGTACACCTATTTGCAGTATCTGAAGTAAATATCTGTAACACAGAAATGGCCATGTGGGGTGGGGGGGGCAGCATTGGATAAAGAGATATAGTTCCATCCTCATTACTATGCCTCCCAATGCAGGATCTCTGTCAGTGTCATTGGTTTAGATTTCAACTGGAAGACCGATGATGGTAGTAATGAACAGTATAGTCTATACAAAAGTATATCTTGTCAGAGTTTTTTTCAAGAATTACTTCTGAGATCCGTCAGTTGACATCACTGGACAGCTTTAAAAAAGCTGTCAAGACGGATCTCTATCGGCAGGCCTTCCCAGACTAATCACCCCGTCCTTGGGTTCCTTGACTCCTGCATTCCTCTCGTGGCCCCATCAGTTGTTGATGGATGAGGAACGCAGTCGAGGTTGATTAGGGGGTGTTTTTTTGTTTTTTTTTTGGGGGGGGAATATGTTATACAGGTTTTATTGTAAGCCACTTGGATTGTCTGGCAATAAGTGGGATACAAATAAATATTATTATTATTATTATTATTATTATTATTATTATTATTATTATTATTATTATATTTAATTAGAGGAGAGGGACATCTGTTATAACTTTACCACAGGGATTAACTCTAAAATATTGCTGTAAATTAGCAGGTGTCTATTGTGTATTTCACAATAGCAACAGGGACTCTTGTCTACTCTGAGGAAGTCCTGGATTTTTAAGACAGTTAATTGAAGTACAAATTATAACTCTGCCAGTTTCCAATTTTTAACCAGATTATCACATGCTTTCACAGTTATTTGGTTTAAAAAGTAGAAGTGTTGACATGGTATGGAATAAACCTAATACATTAGGCCGATAGCAGAACAGACTGGGCTGCTTAACCAAAATTTAGTTTTCTACAGCAAACCCATGAAAAAAAAGAGACCAGGAGTCAATATTTTTTAAAAAAAAAATTCTTCCCATTGAGGACATGACGTATGCAAGTATATAATTTACATGATTAAAAGAGAAGCATAATAAGGAGTACTTGCTCCTGGGTTTACAAATCTAATTCTACTTTTTCTTTCTTGAAAGAGAGATACAACATAGAACTCAGTGAGCATAGCTTCTTGCTGATCCAGTTATAAAATATGCTGTACACTTATGGAAAAACTTGCCTGTCAAGTGACCCCAAAGCTTTCTACTACTTTTCAGGACCATGGATGATCAAAACTTGGAGATGAAACAAGAACAGGTTTCCAATCTCCACCTATTCATCTTAGAGTCAGAGAAAAGTCTACATATGAACAAGTATGCAAAAGGATCTTGTGACGCCTTTGAGACTTACCGAAAGAAAGAAGCTGGTAGCATGAGCTTTCAAAGATTTGAGTCTACTTCATCAGATGCAACAACTAGTGCAAGATGAATGGCGATTAGCAATGAGGATATTACACCATGGTCCCTCTGGTTTTCATGTGTTGACTACTCATTTTTTAAAAAAAAAATCTGTAGGGTTCCATTGATGCTACAAGATAATATAAGAGATCAGAAAAATTGAGGGCTTGTTGGAAAGGAGTCCCAGGTAAAATGTACAACGTGGGGAATAGCAGCAGCTATGATGACACAGCATTTGATCACTGCTGAGTCATGCTGACTCATGGGAAGTAACATCATGGAGATGATCACCTCATGCTGGAAAGCACAGAGAACTGCTGCAAAAATACAGAGTCACTCATGTGACTGACAGGTGTCCAGCAGGAAGAGGCAGGGCCAGAGGGACATGTGGAGCCCTGGCTATATAAGTCAGAAGTCTTTGAACACACATGTTGGTTGCTGTGGATTGTGGATGTGGTGGTTGTTAGTGGGTTGTCATAATGGTGTTGATCGCGTCGCGTTGGATGATTGTCATTATTGCTGTAAATAGCCTTGTATATAGAGGAACTAAGATTAAAGCCTCATCTGAGAGACGTCTGCCTGTGGAGTCTCTTTACTCTGTCTGGAAGGGAAGAGGTGCTTCTCCAGCTGACATGCTACTGGCTGCATCTGAGAAGGTCATGTTCCTGGTGCTGCACGCTAAAATGGATCTTCACGCACTGTGTAACCACGCTAACAGGGCTATACAACACAGGATTCCAAACACAGCACAGGCTACAGAGCATTTAGCTGTCCAGACACCGTTGGGATGCAGGTCCCATCACCAGAATAGCCATTGGTGAATGCTGATGGAAGATGCAATCTAACAGCATCTGAAGGGCCACCCCTGATGTAACATGAAATACATATCTAGTATTGTTTGTCAGTATTTGAGTAAAAAAAAAACTATCAAAAATACACATCCTAGTTAATTTGCTAACAGTAACCAGCACACCTTGGCTTAACAGAAGGGAGGCAGTCTAATCCAGAGTATAAGAGAAAACAGTTTTAACTTGAAATATCAGGACAGGATACAGTAAGATCTACATCAAAGGATTTTCTAAATTTCTCATATCTCCTTTTTGGTGTCAGCTTCACTTTTTAATTAGGAGCAAATTTTAATTTGTGATTAAATAATTAGTTTATAAATAAAATGAATTAGTTGATAATGCTTGGCATAAAGATGCAAGAAATGTAATAGTGCAGGCATCCAGAAATTAATATCAAGTTGCAATGAAAAGGGGAAGGGATAATTTTCTATTTCATCAGTTTGCAGTAATACTAAGCAAAATTATTTTGAAGAGCAGGTTTGAGGATGAATTGGAATTTAAGGAGAATAAAGATCAGCTAGGCAAGCAATGCTGTAACTATGAAGGTCCTTGTAGGTTAAAAGCAGGTTTGTTTTTTAACCTCATTTCTTAACTTTATAGGAAATCAGTGTAATGACTCACAAGAAACAGATGAGTTATAGTAAGATTTTGTGTTTGCCATGGACCTTTACTCATTAGTGTGCCCTACCTATATTTATTTTTTCTAGGATCAGTTCACAACACCATCTGCTTTAAGTGATAATCAGTGAACAAGATGGTAAAAGCATGAAGAAGCAATGTCAGCAGGGGAATGCAAGGATTTCAATCAGAATATATGTTCCAGGTAACAAAACGATTGTTTTATCATCTTGACTCAACAACAATTGGGAATTCAAGGTGACACTGTATCTTTATGAGAAGGCACTGAAGCTATAACTGAAAATTAGGTTAAGAGAATGTCATTGTGAAAGACTGTAAGTAGACTTTAGATACCTAGATTTTCAGAATTGGTTTTCAAGGAGAAGTGTGTGTGGTAGTCTGCTTCCATGCCTGGCTGGATTTCCTGTTTAGTTTGGAAATGCGTGCACAGAACATGAGGAAGATGTAGCAGAATGTACTAGGTGGTGTTGCACTTCAGCCAGGAAAAGCTAGTTATATATCACTGCCCTGCTGTGATGCCTGTGAGGCAATTTGCTGCAAATGATCATTGTTCATTACTTCTCATCTTGATAGAAGAAAATGCTATAAGCAGATCAGCTGCCTGGATAATGAGATACAATAATAAATTGTGTGTCATTCACTTTTAGCCCCATCTACATGTCACAATGGATCCACTACTCAGTGTGGGTGGAAATCTGAATCTTCACCTATTGATTCCATCCACTAGTTATATTCCACATCCTCTACTCTATGTGCCTTTACAGACTGCCAGAAATAATGCAGCTTGAGACCACTTTAACTGCCCTGGTTCAGTGCTAGGGAATCATGGGAACTGTAGTTTATTGTGGAACCAGAGTTCTCTGACAGAGATGTCTCAATGCCTCAGAAAAAAAAACTACAATTCCCATGATTCCCTAGCACTGAGCCAGGGCATTTAAAGTGGACTCAAGCTGTATTATTTCTGGCAGTCTGTAAAGGCCCTATGTCAGGTTCTTAAATCTTTATGGTACCAGAGACATTTCAGAAAAGTATTTGGAGTGTCAGTTCATTGTATTCATTTTCACAAATTTCTCTAGACAGACTCTATTTGTTGTTAACTGCCTTTGTGTCAATCTCAACCCATGGCGACCCTATGGATGAGACATCTCCTGCCCTCCCATCCTCTACTGATCTGCCTAGCTCCTGCAAACTCAAATTTGTGGTCTCATTAATAAAGTCCCTCCATCTAGCATGTGGCCTTCCTCTCTTTCTATTTCCCTTCACTTTTTCTTACATTATTGTCTTTTCCACTGATTCATGCCTTCTCATGATGTATCCAAAGTATGGTAGTAAGTTTTGTCATCTTGGCTTCTAGGGATATTTCTGGCTTGACCTGTTCTAGGACCCATTTGTTTGTCCTTTTGGCTGTCCATGAAATCCTCAGCACTCTTCTCCAGCACCACATCCCAAATGCATTGATTTTCCTCCTATCTTCTTTCTTGACTGTCCAGCTCTCATATATATGGTAAAAGGGAATACAATGGCTTGTATGATTCTGGGTTTTGTGCTGAGTTGTATGTCTTTGCATTTTAGGATCTTTTCAATTTTTTTCATAGCCACCCTCCCAATTCTTAATCTTCTTCTGATTTCCTGGCTGCAGCCCCCATTTCTATCAATGTTTGATCCCAGGTATGAGAAATCTTTTACTATTTCCTCATTGTCTAGTTTGAATGTGTGTAAGTTCTCTGTGGTCATTATTTTTGTTTTCGTTATGTTCAACAGTAAGCCTGCCTTTGCACTTTTGTCTTTGATCTTCCTTAGT